TTTAGTAGAGACGGGGTTTCACCATGTTGACCAGGATGGTCTCGATCTCTTGACCTTGTGATCCACCCGCCTCGGCCTCCCAAAGTGCTGGGATTACAGGTGTGAGCCACCGCGCCCGGCCCTATTAACTTTTATTTTTTGAGATGGAGTTTCGTTCTTGTCACCCAGGCTGGAGTGCAGTGGTGCCATCTCAGCTCACTGCAACCTCCGCCTCTCAGGTTCGAGTGATTTTCCTGCCTCAGCCTCCTGAGTAGCTGAGACTACAGCTGCCCGCCACCACGCCCGGCTAATTTTTTGTATTTTTAGTAGAGACGGGGTTTCTCCATGTTGGCCAAGATGGTCTCAATCTCTTGACCTCATGATCTGCCCACCTCGGCCTCACAAAGTGCTGGGATTCCAGGCGTGAGCCACCGCGCCGGCCCCCAGGCCCTGGGCTAATCACTCTCCTTGCCTCATCGCACCAACCCTCCTACCAGGCCTTCACACACGTACTAGGATTTATGCCCATTTGAAAGAGGAAGACACTTGGCCGGGAGCGGTGGCTCATGCCTAGAATCCCAGCATTTTGGGAGGCCAAGGCAGGCGGATCACGAGGTCAGGAGTTCAAGAACAGCCTGGCCAACATAGTGAAACCCCATCTCTACTAAAAATACAAAAATTAGCCAGGCATGGTGGCATGCACCTGTAGTCCCGGCTACTCAGGAGGCTGAGGCAGGAGAATCGCTTGAACTCGCGAGGCGGAGGTTGCAGTGAGCTGAGATCGATCGTGCTATTGCACTCCAGCCTGGGTGAGAGAGAGAGATTCTGTCTCAAAAAAACAAAGAGGATGACTCAACACCTGTAACCCCAACACTTTGGGAGGCCAAGGTGGGCAGATCACGAGGTCAAGAGATCGAGATCATCCTGGACAACATGGTGAAACCCCGTCTCTACTAAAAAAAATTAGCTGGGCATGGTGGCAGGTGCCTGTAGTCCCAGCTACGAAGGAGGCTGAGGCAGGAGAATCCTCATGGCTGAACCCAGGAGGTGGGGTTTGCAGTGAGCTGAGATCGTGCCACTGCACTTTAGTAGCCTGGTGACAGAGCAAGACTCGGTCTCAAAAAAGAAAATGTATTCCAGCTGAGGAACAAACGAAAAGTAAAAAAAAAAAAAGTGGCACATATACAACATGGAATACTACACAGCCATAAAAAACGATGAGTCTGTGTCCTTTGCAGGGACTTAGATGAATCTGGAAACCATCATTCACATCAAACTGACACAAGAACAAAAAACCAAACATCACATGTCCTCACTCATAGGTGGGTGTTGAACAATGAGAACACGTGGACTCAGGGAGAGGAGCGTCACACATTGAGGGCAGTTGGGGGGACGGCTAGGGGAGAGACAGCGGGGGGTGGGAAGGGTGGGGAGGGATAACACGGGGAGAAATGCCGGATATAGTATGCACCTATGCAGCAACCGTGCATGACCTCCACATGTACCCCAGAACCTAAAGTAAAATAAAATTAAAAAGAAAAAGGAAAGAGGAAGACCCTGGGGTTCAGGGAGCAGAGAGTAAAGTCACTGGCTCCAATCCAGGATCCAAAGTCAAGTCTGTCTGGGGTCCTGTCCCCGTCACCGCTCCCTTGACCCAGCCCCCACAGACCTGGGAAGGAGCCCAGCTCCTCCAGTTTCAGGACAGGGCTGCCCAAACCGCCCTGCCAGGATCCCTCCCAGAGAACAAACAGCTCCCGCCCGCCGCCAGCCTCTCTCCTCCACCGCCTCCTCCTCCTCCTGCCAGGCCGGTTCCCAGACCCACCCTCCCTCTCCCTGCACCCTCGCCAGGGCTGGCTGGTCTCAGAGGAACGCCTAGGAAAAACCTACCCAAACCCCTTGCAGTTAGGAAGGAGACCCGCCTGGGCTTCCTGAACACTGCCGATGAGACCTCTCTCATCGCAGTTAGAGCTGCCTGCGTTTTCCTCGCCTCCCCAAACAGACTGGGAACCCTAGAAACTGAGGCTTGGGACAGCCCATGAGAGTCAGCACTCAGCCACCCTCCCAGCTGCTGCTGTCAGTGCTGTCACCATCAGCGTGACTGTCACACACCTCACTTCCTGCGGTCAGCCGCACCCCTGCAGATTTAACCCGCCAGCCTCCCCAAGGTCTCCTCCACCTGAAGTCCTCTCTGCATTCCTGGCTTCTCAAAATTCAGGTCAAAGCTCAGATGCCACCTCCTCCCCTGACCACCGTCCCTGAAGTGGCCGC